CCCTTAAACTGTGGGTTTTCCTTCTTTGGAAATGTGTCCTTGTACGATGTGAGGGTCTAAGGACAGAGGGTGTCGTATTGTCATACTGATATTATGTACAAACTGTGAAGTCCACTGAGACAAATGTAACATTTGTGATATTGGGCTATATAAATAAACATTGAAATGTCTTAACATGATTTCAATTGACTTATTTGGTTAAAACAGTAGTCAACATTTTGTACGCTTTATTGTTTTTGTCTTGTAATCTAGCTGATATTTAATAGCGCTACTTCTGCTTTTTCCAGGACAGCGTGGCTGAACCCACTGATGATGTTCAGGCTAGGCCACAGGACATCCAACCTCTGATCAAAGAGGCCACTCTCCTTCTCAAGGAGCCTCTGGAGACAATGGCAGGCCCCTTACGCACCTACAGAAAAAGAATACAGGTAGGTTTCATGGATGGTTGAATTACACCTTGGCAGGATGAAGTAGTAGAGTCTTAACTATTAACTGATGTCAAAAATGTTGCACTCACCACGTAGCTATATACCTCTTAAGGTATTATACCACTTTAAATATTGCCGATAACCTGATTTTATTACATTATTTAGTTAGTAATAACATCCTACCAAACAACAAGTCCAGCAGAGCTTTGTTCAATAAATACCTCTTTTTTTTCAAAGGGTGCCTTAAGATCTAGTTCTGGAGAGATCAAATAAATCAATGACATTTTTTGATGTAAAATGTTATCATGGGAAATAGCATTTTTGTCAGAAGTAGAAATTTAAGATCTCAGAATAGGGGCAATAGCCTGTCAGAAGAGAGTGGTTTATTTTTACACACTGAGAACTCAATTATACATTTCCACATATTTCTGTCTCAAACTAACCGTTTGCTTTCTTTCTTTCAGTTCATGACGAGGAAAATAAAAGAAGTGGATCTTGAGGCTCTCGCTCCCTCCCCAGAATGTCCAGCTGAGCAGTTACAGAAACTGAAGTTTGCTATACCTGAAGTATGAATGATTTCAACCCTTTTAACACTTCCTTCATACATCTTTGTTCATAAAGAACGTCTTCTTTAGGTTGTGGTGCCCTGTTGTAGTGTATACAGCATGTTAATCAATTTGTTACCATATGTTCCTACAATGTCACCAGGTGATGCAGACCTTGTTTGAGGCAGAACAGGTGTGTGCAGAGCTGCAGCACAGTGTGTCAGGGCTGGACAGTCGCCTGGCTGAACTCCTGCATTGGGAGTCTGAGGCTCGGGAGCTCTACCAGCTGCTGAGGGCCGCAGAGCGACAACCTCAGCGGGGCCAGAACCCACGAGCCAGTGTAAGATGATCCCCTGTATATGAATGTTGTTATGCTATCAATTCAAATTAGTTGTATCCTCCCAGGACTTTTTCTCATAAAGAAACCCTGATGTGGAATTTGAGGAAACGCTGATTTTGTTCAACTCCATTTTTTCCCTCAGGTTCTGATATCCCGTGGTCTGCAGCTGGAGGGTCAGGTGGTCACAGAGGAGCAGGACCTGCAGATGATGGTGATGACGAGTCAGAAGAACTCTCCCATGCAGTACCTCCATGCCTCCGCCATGCAGGACCGAGTGCGAGCCGCTGTTGCACAGTCACAGGCCAGTTTTCTTTGTGTAAATTACCTGAGCAAGCCATTGAGTTGTGTATGATCTTTACTTAGGAAAAGAGAAAGGCAGGGGCAGTTTTTCTAATGTGTTTGTGGTTTGAATTGCAGGAAGCTGTAGGTATGCTGAGCAGCCTGGGAGCCAGACGAGACAGAAGCAGAAGCCCACCAGAAGGGTCTCCTCCATCAAAAGTATTTAAACAGGCTAAAGAAAAGCCTCAACATCTGAGACAGTCAGAATCAGTCTCATGGTCAACTAAACAGCCTGAGAAAGAGTTAGTTCAGAGTCATGGAACCTTTGTGCCAAAGATAGTGGTGCAGGAATACAGAGAAACAAAGGTGACTTCTCCTCCATTGCCATATAGCTACGCAGAAGCTTTGATGCAGACCAGGACAAAGTCACCACCAGAAGTCCAGCATCAGGCCTGGACGGAGAAAACTTTACAAAAGCAGCAGCAGACTCTGGAACATGGATCGATACAGCAGCAACAGCTAATGCAGCAGCAACAGCAACAACAAGAATTGCAACAGCAAGAGCCGATGCAAACACTACCACAACTACAACAGCCGAAGCAAAAAAAACAACAGGTGGAGCAGCAGGTGGAAGTGGTAATAGACAGACAAACACCAGATCCCCACGATCAGACTTCATTTCAACAAGCACCTTCAAAGAAACCTCTTCCAAGCAACCAGGAGCTTCAAAGCAGGAAAACCCAGGCCTTAAAGAATCGGCCTTGGCTTCAGAAGCCAGCCTCAGGAGAGCATACAACGCCAGAACCGGATTCAACTCAGGAAACAACTGCACCAAGACAGACTCAGCCACAGTCAGACAAGGAAACAGCAAGAACCGTTCAGGTTGTTTCACAGCAAACGGTAACTACAAGGTCCCAGCCTGAGGGAAATGCAAAGGATACAAAGCAGTCAAAACAGCAAGAACTCCAACAAAAACCACCACGGCACCCTCAAAATGTAGAACAGAGGCAACAACAAAAAACGCAAAGTCAAGAGCAACAACAACCACAACAACAACTGGAGCAACAGAGAACTATTGCTGCAACTATTGCTGCAACAACAACAACAACAACAACAACAGGAAAAGCAACCACAGCCTATTGTAGGACAGGCTCAACCAGATTCAGACTCCAAGGCTAAATCCCAGTCTGTTGCTATGGTTCTGCCTCACCCTCAAGGAAAAGCCCAAATTCAGTCACAAACCAAAACTATGGTTCAGTCTAAATCCCAGCCAGTGGTCCAAATGCAGTCCACAAGTGTTTCCCACAGCACCACAGACAGTGAGCAACAACTGCGGACCATGTCTGAAACCAAAGTGAGCCAAGGTCAGTCACAGACACAAGGTCTGCTACAGTCCCATGGTCTCATAAAGACACAGGTTCAGACTCAGTCCCAAACATATGCCTCAGCTGGATCTCAGATGTCCCTGCAGCCACAAGGTGTAGCTCATGGCCCGACTGTAGCTCAGGTACAGGCGCTAGCTCAAGTCAGACCTTCTTCCCCTATGCAAGCCCCCCTGCAAGGCCAAATTCAGTATCCTGTACCATCCCACATTCAGCTTCGCAGTCATTCACAGTCGTGGGCTCCTGTAAGGACACCCTCACCTAAACCACCAACACCATCACAAACTCAAACCCATTCCCAGTCTATGGCCCAGTTCCCAACATATCCTCAGTCAATGCCCCAGCCTCAAATCCATCCTCAGTCAATGCCCCAGCCTCAAATCCATCCTCAGTCAATGCCCCAGCCTCAAATCCATTCTCAGTCAATGCCCCAGTCCCAAACACATCCTCAGTCAATGGCCCAGCCTCAAATCCATCCTCAGTCAATGGCCCAGCCTCAAATCCATCCTCAGTCAATGCCCCAGTCCCAAACACATCCTCAGTCAATGCCCCAGTCCCCAACACAGCCTCAGGCAATGCCCCAGCCTACAATCCATCCTCA